AAAACTATTTATCAAGGCACCCATAGGTTCCATAATGTGTACAAAGAAAGGGTGCATTTAAGGAAAAAGCAAGGCAACCAGACGTAAATCAAGATATGACTTCCATGAATAACTGTGCTGGAGCCAAATCTGAAATGATACAAACATTTGGTTATAAGATTCACAATTCATAGCTGAAAATGGGAAGTAGTTATGCAGGGATAGTCTGAAAGAAATGAGTCCAAAGAGGGATATATACCACGTCTGTCAAATCTTCCATGCTAACATGCAAGTAAAAGAATAAAGGCTAACATCCAAAAAAACTCACCTAAATAAAAGTCCACGTTGTCTAATAAACATAATAAATGCAGAAAATTGTACAGGTAATGCAAACAGCAATAAAAAAGATAAAGAAGTAACAAGATCCAGATGAGAAATCTAGAATTAGTGTCTTGGATTTCTTTGACATTAGATTAATTGGGGACCTGAAATAGGATAAATGAAAGGATAAAAACACGATTTTATGTTTATTTATAGCAGGAAGTTCAACAAAACATCAACTTGATTTGATCACTTCTTCATCTACAGTTTTTGTTTCAAATGAAACATGTTAAAATCAGAAGTTGAGGGAGAGACAAACTCCCCTTAAATTGGAAATGTATAAAGAGAGATTAACATAAAAAGCTATAAAATTAAAGGCATGCTTAATAACCAAAAGAACACCAAGAATTTTCACTATAAGCTACAGCATTTTCATTAAAATTTCAATGACAATCAACATCTAATTTATCAAACCAGGACTTGTTCTATTATAAGGTTCATTAAGAAGGGAACAATTTTCTCCAACAGTTTCTGTTCTATGATTTGACAAACAACGATGGTCTTCCAAATTCCAGTAGTTTGCTAATTCATGAATGCCAAACACAATAAGGTATACAGGTACAGTACGATATTCAAGACTGTAACACAGAACAGGAGTAACGAACCTTTTGCCAAAACATAAGTTAGCAATGGCAACCTTCATCTGAATTTAGCTGCCAATCACCCTCTAGCAAAAGTAACCTCTGCACTTTGGTGAGCCACAAAGGCACTTTTTCTTCCTCTGTTCTACTTTATCTGGTGGGACCATTCCATAATCATATGTCAACTCTGTCATAGGTGGAATGTTCTTGAGAGCAAAAAACATGATATGAAGATCATACTCCTTGTTCCCCCGAAGAACTGCCTGCCACTGTACATTTGGGCTGCAACCATGATTCATAAACCGTGCTACATTACCAACATCTTTTGCACTTATAATTAGTGGAAATGGGACCTTTGGAGCCTCATTTGATTCACCAGGCAGATCTCCCGCTGACTGAAAAGTGCGGGTAGCGTCAAAAATGTAACGATTATTGTTTTCATCCTCTGCCCTGGAAATATCAACAACTTCCCCGGCATACTCACAGATATAGCCTCCAACACGGATAGGATCCCAGGACCTCAAACCCCAACCTTTATTCTTAGTCTTAAACACCTCCAGACGAACTTTTAGGCCACCTTGAGACAGTCGGTTCTTGCAAGTCGAAGAGCACTGGCAGGATGGACCACACTCATGTACCAAAGGCCTTTGGCTAACAAGAACTCCACCCGAAGTGTATGGAAGATAGCCTCCATTTCCTTGAATGCAGTGGCAGTTGGAGTTACCAGAAACACATCCATCATGGCAAGTGCAGCCAGCTGAAGGCTCTACAGAAGTTACTGGTTTTGGAAACTTGAGAGTAGGAGAATATGTAAAATATGCAGGTCCCTTCTCATCATCAACATCATTTACAAGAGAAACAGGCAAATTTTCTGCCCCAGAAGTAAGATCTGGCAATATAATACCAACTCTAGGAGTGATGCCATCAGTCCATTGCTGGATAGATTTCCACAATGTAAATGCTTCGGGCTGTCCAGGAACCCTGATCAATTTAAACCTAAATACATTGCACCCAGCCTTCCCCTTCTCCACCCATGACTCCTGGACTTTATAAAGACCATCATAGACATATATCTTTCCAGTTAGAGATGCTGGATCCTTTACACCTCGTATTACTCGGACCTCATTACCTCGATGCAGGCTCTTCTCCAAAGCAAGATTTCCCCTTACAAGCTTCTGGTCAGTTGCTTCCTTATCTTTCAAGTTAAGATTCCCACCCTGGCCACTGTAAATCAAGACATCCCCATCCTCCACATTGTCCTCATATCCTCCAGATGAGACAATGCTAACTGCTACTGGCTCTTCATTTTGAGATGTCTTCAGAACCATGTAATCAATCCCAGCCATACTTGGTGCATGCAATCCAACCAAGCACAATTCCATCCTAAAATAGAAAATATCCCCAATTTCAACCCCGGGTACAGCACCAATTCTCTTCCTGGCATTTGTGCGAATTCCTTTGCTCATTAAGATTGCTGCGGCTTTTAAGTCAGGTCGTTTGGTTATAGATGTTGCTTCTTTTGAATCTTCAATCAGTGCAATTTTTCTTCGAAGCAAATTGTTTATCATAAGTATATTCTCCACTGTGTCTCTGTCACCATCAGCCCCAGATGCATCGAATTTCATGTGCTGAAATGATTCAAGGATATTATTAACCATTGCATCCGTGTCCACATCGGGTAAAGTAGAATTCATATCCTGGCCACGCTTTGTCCTCTTAGGAGTCATACTCTTTATTTTCCTGCCCCTACTAGAATACTGAGTACTCTGTTCTTGCTCATCACTGAACCCATCTTCTTCAGCAACCACAGTATTACGTTGCAATCTTGGACGGCCTCTGGGTCTCTTTCCAGATGGACCTGCATCTCCATTTGCAGTCCTATATGAATTTATGGGAACTGCAGTAGAAATAGGGGTAGCGAAGCCAAAAGGTTGATTGGGCATAGAAAATGGGGTTTGAGGGTTTCCAGAATCTGAGGAACCAGAAAATGGGTAAAATGGCGCAAACCCAGAAGGGAAAGGACCAGATGGAGGGAAGCAAACAAATGGGGCAGCACCATTAGAAGATGAAGGGAATACTGGAGAAAGGGATCGCAGGGGCTTTATGTCTAGAACCCTAGACTTATCCACTGGTCCAGAAGTAGGAGGGGAGTCTTGGCCTAAAGTTTGCTCCATTGAAGCTTGTTGACACAGCACAATAAAGTCTTTCAAGTGTAAACCCCTACCCCCAGCTTAATCAATTGATTTTTCTCCTTCCTTTTCGAAAACCTGCACTCACAAAGCCAAAAACATGTTTACAAAAATTTAATGATTACTACAAAAGAACAAAAACAATACCTCCAGTAACATCAAAAAAAAAAAAAGTTCCAAATCAAACTCCACTAAACCCAGAAAAGAAGAACAACAAAAATCTCTAGCAATATTAGACTTAAAAAAAGGATTCCAAATCCAACCCCAAAACAGAAATTAAACAAAACCTAAACCCACGTCAAATCTTAACTCCAAACCCAGAAACAAACTTAGAATCCATGACAAGAATATCAAATTACACTCCAGTACTTAATGAAAGTCCTAAGAAACAAAACCACCACAGCATGCAAATTAGAAACGATTCAAAGGACCCATTACACAAGCAAAACCTAAATATGACCCAACAAAATAACGAAACCCTAATAATAAACTAAAATTAGATCTGTAAGTAGCAAAAAGTAAAACAAAGAAAAGAAACTAACACAGCAACTATTAATCAATCTGAAGGAATAATTCCCAAACCCATTTTCTAGGTAACCGAACAGAAGCAAGAGAATTTTTCTCTCACCTAAAAACGAGATTGAAAGTGAGAAATGAGTCTCCCTTTCAGAAGATTGAAGACACCAACTACGGAAATTGATCTGTTTCTATGTAGAGAATAGAAAGGATCTTGAAAAGGGGAGACTTTTTGAACATATGCTCACTCAGGAGACAGGAAGGACGATGAGAGGAAGGAGGGGTCTTTGCGAAAATCAAAAAGTAGGAATTTTTTTTTAGATTTATGTTTCTCAAGTCGGACTGCTATTCTGTGCAG